GGTTTTGAATTTTTTTTTCCGAGGGCCTTTATCGACAATCGAATCGAACATCCGGGTTCTTGGGATGCTCCCGGGCCCCGCGGCCCCCGAGACGGTTCCAAGGCCCTGCGCTCTGACCCTCGGGAACCGCCGAACCCTCCCGAGCCCTCCAGCCTTTCCACCCACAGCCGCGCTCCCCGCAGCCCCCGAGGGGATCCCCAGAGCCCGCTCTCCCGCACCCCCGGCAGGTCTCACAGACAAAGGCCCCGCCGCCATCACCGATTCCCGCTCTTCGCGCGCACCGCCTTTAGAGAACAGCGCCGCAGCCAATCAGCGCGCGGCCACGCCCCCGTACACCCGCCGTCGCGCCTGCGCGCCGCGCGGGGCAGCACGGGAGTTGTAGTCTTTGCAGCGGATCAGAGCGGCCCTTTGCATGTGAGCGGAGTGAGGATAATACTTTTTTGGTTTTATTGGTTTTCTGTCTTTTTTTTTTTCCTTCTCTTTTCTCTTTCTTTTTTTTATCTTCTTTTTTTCTTTCTGCTTCCTTTTCCCCCTTTTTTCTTTTTTCTTTTTCTTTTTTCTCTTTTTTCTTTTTTCTTCCTTTTTTATTATTTGTCTCATTTTTTCCTGGTTTTTCTGTCTTTTTTTCTCTTTTTTCTCCTTTTCCTCTTTTTCCTTCTTTTTTTACTTCGTATTGCCTTTTTCTTTTTCCTTTTTTTTACATTGTTTTCTATTGGTTGTATTTTCAAGGAAGATTTAAGCACAAATCAAAACAATCTCCAGGTACAAATCTTTAGACAACAGATAATCTGGCATTCTTCCAAGTTCATGAGGATTCCCAAGATCACAAACACTGAGACATGAAGGGTGCTTACATAAAAACCAGCTTTCCCTGCTTTTTTCCACAGGTAAAGCAAGTGTGGAAGGGGCACTTGGCCCCAGGCAAGATGCTTTTACAGACACTTTAGGCAGCCCAGAGTGGATCTGGCTGGCAAATGGAATTACGCCCATGCTTTCCTGGAGGATTTGCAGAGTACACTGAGGGGAAACAGGGCCATTTCTTCAACTCCTGAAGGGATGAGAAGAGGGGGGAGCAAGTGCTGTGGCCCCAGAGCTTCTCTCTGCTCTGGGGACACTTCAGTGTTTTCCTCTCTACATTGAATTCCCAACAAAGAAGGAAAAAGCTACAGGAACTCCAGTCTGGAGTGCTCAGGACATGTGGAAGCAGGGGAATTTTTCTTCCCAGCTGGGATTGAGAGTGCAATTCCACACTCCTTTGGAGAGCATTAACTGAGACAGCCCATTTCTGCCCAGGGATCTTCCAGGGGGAACTCAATCCGGGCTCTGGGCAGGTCCCTGCAGGGGCAGCAGCTTCCTCTGCACATTTGAGGGGATAAAGCTGCTCTAAACCTGCACTCCAACCACTCCACAGCAATTTAGGACCTCTGAGGACAGTTCCCCACTGTTTCCACCCCAGCAGAGACCTGAACACATCCCATGGGCACTGTGTGACCACCCCTGGCATTAATGAGGACACTGACTGTAAAGACACTTGTCTACCTGTAAACCTCCACTTTCTTTGCTACTATACAGCAATAACATTTTCTATTCATATTGCAGCTACAGACTTAACAAATAGAATTGCATATATTGTGCTTTAGACATTAAAATGCATTCCAAAGTCAGGCAATGCTAAACAATGAAAGTCTTGAACCCTCCCCCACAAACCAGCCCCACTTTCTGGTTTCACAACCAGCCCACTTCCTCACTCTCTTCACAAAGGGAGAAACTCTCTCTTTCCACCTCTGAAACAAAAACTCCCTCTCCAAAAGTGATCAGAAAGAGTCTACTTAGGCACTACTGCAAAGGGAAGTTCTCTAATAACCATTCCTTCTAACTCAGGAAGGGGAGGAGGTGAAGAAAGTCACGACAAATGTTTGGATTCCTTCCTCTTCGACGTGTTCTCTTCCCTATCTGACGCTCTGGGACATGTGCAGGGGGGTCAGCATCTCTTCAAAGATGGCTCCTTTCACATCAGAGCCCCTCAAATTGGCCTCCTGGAGGTCACAACCTGATAGGTCACAATTTGGAAGGGGAAAAGAAAAAGAAGTGTCAATGGAATGCACCCAGAACTCTGTTCAAAGCTTTACTTGAAGTCCATTTACCTGAACTCCATTGTACTCTGAAGCTGGAGAGGTCAGCCAAAAGCCAGCAATCCCCCAAATTCCCAGCTGACCATAGGAGAGAAAGGAATAGGATGGAAAATGAATCCCAACTCACTTCCCAATCAGTTCCTGCCAACGTTGCTCCCCTGAGGTTGCAGTTCTTTAGTTTGGCGTTTCTCAGTGTTGCAACTCGGAGGGTAATTCCTGTCATCTGACTGCCCTCCATGGCCACTCCTTTCAGGCTGGCACCTGGAACACACACAGAAAGGAGTTCTGTGAGGAAACACAGTCAGAAACACAGCAGCTGCACACTGGTGCTGCCTCAGAGCTGTGTGAATTGGAGGAGGACGAGGGGCTTTGGGGCTGAGATGGTCACAGACTCCGTGCAGCCCTTGTGGGCCCTTCTCAGGGTTGGACAAACCCCAGCTGGACCTTTTCTGGGCCATAGAAATGGACAAACACAGGCTTCAGTTGGCACAGATTCACAAGGCGAAAGCTCCTTACCTTCCAGATTAGCTTGAAGGCCTGATGGGTCCTCAGAGTCGCAGCCTTTCAGGGACGCTCCCTCTGCGCTGGAGCGCAGCATCTTCACCCCTGGCAGGTTGGCACACTGGCACAGACAGGAGTCACTGAGGGCCGGAAGAACAACACCAAAGACAATCAAGGAGACACTTTTAATTTCTGCTTTGAGAGTCAATCCCATTCAATCATTACTGGGAGGAAGTGTAAAAGCTTTGGGAACCAGAACAACTCTAGAATATATTTAAGAACTCGATGTTTTACACCCCTCTGTTTGTTCCAGCTCCTCTCTGTTAACACAAGCCCAGCCCTCCCAAGCTGCAGCAGCTCTTCCATCCAGCACAGAGCCTGACAGGTCAGCCCTCTCCAGGCTGGCACAGCACAGGTTGGCACGGGCCAGGTTGCAGTGGCTCAGATTGGCCACCTTGAAGTTGATGTAGCAAAGATCCAGGTGGGAAAGATCCGCTCCACTGAAAGTGAGACCCTGGAAATCCCGAGGAATAAACCCCCCAAAAAGGTTACAGAGGGGAAGGGGTAGGTCTGGACACACAGTTAACATCATTGTGTAGATAGGTGTGCATTAATATTTACAGTGTGTAAATACCTATGTATAAATATATGGATAGAAATGTATAAAAATATATCCTGTCTATAAATATACACAGATACAAGATAGATACAGACACACACAGGTCCTGGGAGGAGCTGAAGACACCCCACCAGGGAAGGAGGATATAAAACGGAGGGAGAGGGACTTTTTCTATGGGCCTGGAGGGACAGGACAAGGGGCAATGGTTTTTCAACTGAAAGAGGGCAGGGTTAGATGGGAGACTGGGAAGAAATCCTTCCCTGGAAGGGTGGGAAGGGGCAGGGATGGAATTCCCAAAGAAGCTGTGGCTGCCCCTGGATCCCTGCAAGTGTCCAAGGACAGGTTGGATCAACCTGCTCTAGTGGAAGGTGTCCCTGCCCATGGCAGGGGGTGGAATGAGAAGACCTTTAAGGTCCCTTCCAACCCAAACCAGTCCATGATTCTATACAGACAAATACACACAAGACCATTTATTCTACTACTTAAGACCAATGAAATCTAAATGCAAAGCTCTCAAAAATTGTCCTTGGTTCATTTTCCATTTAAACAAATTGCTCCTCCAGGAAAGCTTCCCCCTAAAGCAGGAATGCAGCCCAAACCACCCTGGAATTCCAAGTCAAGGTCACTGTGCCACAGCTCAGAATCCAAACTCAGTTCAAGAGAACACAGTGTCTGCATTTCACGTTGCCACATTCCAGCACCAGGCACCAACACTCCAGAGAGGGACAGCACAAGGGGCAGTGGGTTTAATAGAAAAGAGGGAGGTTTAGATGAGATGTTGGGAAGAAATTCCCAGAATTTTGTTAGAAAGAGAAATGTGTTCTCACCTGACAGCGCAGCTCGGACTTGGGGGGTGTTGCCAGCAGGAACTGGACAAACTCCTTCTGAGAGGTGGGACAGGGATCCTCAGCTGGCTGGGAATTCCATTGGGAATGTTGTTCAACAGCTGACACAGACAGCACTAAATTACACATCCTCTGCAAGAGCAGGGCAGGTGCATTCAGGTCTCCAAACAAATTCCCTTCATGGCTATTTCCAGGTGTTCGATTGGTGAATCAACACCAAAAAACCTGGCTTCCTGCAGGACACCTGGAAACAGAGAGTTTGTTATTTCCAGGGAACTGTTAATCCACAAATCACCCTTCTCCCTGCTGGACAACAACCACAGCCATTGTATTAGATGTAACTGGGCAGAGCAAAAGGTTGCTTGCAGCTACAAGGAAAAAATCACTCAGCCAGGCTGTTTGCAACACCAGCATTGGGTTAAAGGTGTCAGCTCCACAATTCCAGCCAAACATGAATCCAGGATGGACAACTTTTAACGCTCTCAAGATAAACAAAAAGCCTGTCTTCATTAAATCAAGCAATCTTCATTAAATCAAGCAATACTTTCCTTAAATCAAGCAACGTGGAGCTGCAACACTCAAGAATAAATCCCGAGGAAATAAACTCCAAAGAAAACTACGGAGATGAGCACACAAAGGTCCCTCTGGTTTCACCTGGAGGGCAAAGCTTAACTCTCAAAGAGGAATAATTCAGATGTCAGACAGGTAACACCTACCTAGCAAATGAAGGCCATCATTTACAATGAGCTGTCCGTGACGTAAATAGCTCAAAATGGGCTCAAAATACTCGGGACTGCGGTCAGTTAGGAATGCTCCTCTGTGATCCTGCTTGTTCCCCCAAGCATCTGTTTCCACAACATATATATATATATATAATTAAATTGGATATATTAATATATAGAATTAAAGTTGATCTATTAATAGAAGAGCATTTGTTTCACTTGCAGAGATTTATTACCAAAGGTGGTGGGATGTGAGAATTCCACGTGTAAAAGGGTGTTTTGTAAAGGAAGGAAAAGAGGAGTGGGGGGGGGGAAATCACCTTAAAACGAACTTGTTGCTGCTCTAAATAACTAAAATATTTTATCAAATGCATAAGAATAAAAGCAGCACTAAGGTTTGAGTCTGACTGTCTCCCAAGGGCTGCCTCGGGCAGGGTTTGCTCATGGATCCTCCTGAGGAAACTGAGCAACAATAACATGAAAACCTAAAATCAATCAAACAAACAAACAAAAAAGGACCCAAAATACTAACTGTGGAGGGAAGTTGTATTTTCACTTTGTGAGATGATAAACAGGTGGGCAACAGAGAAATAAAGAATTATTAGAAGAATAATTCTATCTTCTGCTTTGGTACTTTAATATACTTTTGATATTTTAGATTCTCAGCTTGACAGTGCCTTTGGCCTACTTTGCTAATTTATTACTTAAAAAAATTAAAGTTTATTTCAACATACTCACCTTTATCTTTAAACATGTGGGCCAACATGCTGTCAGGTTCTTTGTTAACTTGTGTGTGTCTGTATCTAAAGTGCTTCTAGAAAACAAAGGCAGTGCAATTTCATTAATTTCATTTTTACTTCATAAAAAGTGTTTACGAATTGATTTCTTGCAAAATTGTGGTGGTGAACGCAAAATACAGAGAAAGTAGCAGAAGGCAAAGACCTCCTACTTCATAAGAAGTTATTTTTCAAGCTCTTTTGCTGCCTTGAAATCAAGTTGTTTTGAGACTAAAAGCATTTTTACCTTGTAGTGGTGAAGTACCTGCCTCCCACATTGAGTGTCAGCCAGTCTGTGTGGGACCCTGTCAGCTCCTCCTGAGCTCTCCCATCACTCTGGGACCCCCTAAAATACTCCTGGGACCCCGTTTTTGGGTCAAAACTGTCCCTTTTTGGGCTTAAATTCCCATTTTTTTTCCGCCCGAAGTGCCCCTTTTTGGGTCCCAACTGTTCCTTTTTTGCCCCACATTTCCCCTTTTTTCCCAAATCTCCCTATTTTTGGTCCAAACTTCCTTTTCTTCATTCAGTTTTCCCCTCTTTGGCTCCTTTTTTGTTCCAAATTCTCCCTTTTTTAGCCCAAATATCAATTCCAGGACCCCCCCAGACCCCCCAAGCCCCCCTAAGGACCCCCCAAAGCACCTCAGGGACCCCCCAAACACCCCCAGAGCCCCCCAAAACCCCTTCAGTGCTCCCCAAACCCTATTTTATCTCCTCCAACCCCTCCTGGGACCCCCTCAACCCCTCAGATATCGATCCCAGGACCCCACCAGTCCCCCCAGTCCCACCAGTAAGGGGTCCCCACGAAGGAATTGGCTGGGGAGGCCACGGGGGCTGAGCCAAAGTCGCCCAGTTTGACCAGTCCAGGGGGCGACAGGAGGATGTTCCCGGCCTTGATGTCCCTGTATGGGGGCACAGGGAGGTGACTGGGAGGGACTGGGAGGCACTGGGATGAACTGGGAGGGGTTGGGAAGGACTAAGAGGGAGTGAGAAGGGGTTTAAGTGGGGATTCATGGGGACTGGGAGGGACTGAGGGGGATTTGGGGGCACTGGGAGGGGATTTAGGGGGGGACTGGGAAAAAGCTGGGATGGAACTGGGATGGACTGGGGGCTCTATAGGGCGGATCTCTGGGTCAGGGGGCTCCATGGGGTGGATCTATAGGGTTTCACCTGTGGATGACCCCCCCAGACCCCACAGGGATTTATGGATGAGCTCCTGTGATGAAGGTGTTTATGGATCCCAGGATGGAGGGATTCATGGATCAGCTCCCGGGATTGATGGATTCCTGGATGAGCTCCCGGGACTGAGGAAGTCATGGATGAGGTCCTGGGATTAAGGGATTCAGGAATGAGCTCCCAGGACTGAAGGATTCATGGCTCCCTGGGATGGAGGGATTCATGGATCAGCTCCCAGGAATTAGGGCTGGAATTAGCAGGTGTTTCCTTAAGGTGCTACCATCTGGGAAGGGGACGAGGGAGGATTTGCCTCTGGATTCAGGAAGAGCAAACAGGAATTTCTCAACAGCAGGAGGGGCTTAATTAAAAAGGGACTGAGTAATAGTGAGGGGTAATTAATGAGATCATTAATATGCAAATGAGGCATCACCTGGAGAGTTGACCAAGGTGGGGGTTCCCACTTTTCCCACCCCTTCCCAGGGCTCGGTTCCCCCAGTTAAGGAGCAAATCCCAATTAGGAAGCAAATCCCGACGAAGGATCAGATCCTAATTAACAGCTGGATCCTAATTAATGATGGGACCCTAGTTAGGGCTGGTGGGCGGGGCTGTGGGGGTTCATCACCTTTGAAGCAGGTGATGAAGCTCTTCACTTTGGTGTCATCCAGGAAAAGCTGCAGAAAAGCAGGAAAAAGCCTCAAAACACTCAGGTCTATCCTGGAATCTGTTTGGGATCTCTGTCTAGGGTGTGTCCTGAGTCTGTTTGGGGTCTGCTCCAGGATCCATCTGGGATCTCCCAGGGATCCATTTGGGATCTGTCCCACCCCTATAAACACCCAGATCCCCTACAGACCCCCCCCATATGGACCCCCCCACACTCCTATAGACACTCAGACCCCTATAGCCCCCCCACCCCTATAGACCCTCAACCCCCCTTTAGACACCCCCCACCAACACCCAGACCCACCTCAGAGACCCTCAGACCCCCCCCTCATAGACCCCACTCAACCCTACAGACACCCCCACACCCCTATAGACACCCCCACACCCCTGTAGACAAGCAGACTCCCTACAGACACCCCCCATAGGTCCCACTCACCCACAGAGCCTCCACACCCCATATATCCCCCCATAACCACCCCTACAGACCCACCCCATAGTCACCCACCCCTACAGACCCTCTCATACCCCTAGAGGTCTCAGACCCCCTACAGACACCCACCCACCCCCATAGACCCCCCAGGAATGGGAATAGGCGCCATTGGAACACTACAGGAAGCTTGGGAACGGTTGTAGGCACCTCTAGAACCCTATAGAAACCCTGGGAATGGGTATAGACACCTATAGGACACTATAGACATGCTGGGAACCACTATAGGCACCTATAGAACCTTATAGGCTCTAGCTCTCCCTGGAGACCCTCAGCCCTCCTATAGACACCCCCCACCCCTTTAGACCCCCCTGACCCCTATAGACACCACCCCATAGAACCCACAACCCCTACAGAGCCCCACCCACCACCCCAATATTTCTATTACCTGGATCACCAGGGACAAGTGGGGAGGGTCTATAGGGGTGGGTGTCAATGGGGGGGGTCTGTAGGGCTTGGGAGTGTCTATAGGGGTGCAAGGGGTGTCTATAGGGGCACACAGGAACCTATAGGGTGTGTGGGTTCTATAAGCAGTTGTAAAGGGCGTACTTTTGAATTAGATGATCGATGGAGGGGTGAGAAAGTAATTATATTAGGATGTGAAACCAACTAGAGTATTGTACAGTGTAACTTTATTGCACAAGTTGACTGAAAGGTCCATTGTTTTTTTTAGCAAGTCAGTGAGATGTCCCCCACTATCAGAGCTGAGCTCCTCCTTGGCCTGGCCCCATACTGCAAGATGGACATAAATACCCTTGAAACACAGTGGGAGAGGTCGTCCGTAGGGGTGAGGAAGATGATGGTGAGAGGCAGATTCTGTGGGCAGGGGTCGCTGCCCCTTGCCCTACAGCAGGGCATGCACAGACTGTTGCTATCAGGTGATGAACAGGCGGGGTTTGGCTTCCACTCAGGCATCACCTTACACTGCGTACTGGCCCTACGTGGTGTAATGTGGAGCTGATAAAATGGGCTGTCAGGACTGCTGGGGTGAGCGATCCTCATCCTGCCGTGGAGACTGTGTTGCTCCGCGGGGACGCCCGCTAAGCACGGGCACCGACCAGCTGCTGCAGATCCTGGCAGCCCTGGCCTGTCTGTGTGGGTAAGCACAGGTTATTGACAGGAAGCAACTGAGAAAGCAAATGTTTTATATCCTTTTTTAATATCCTTGTAATTCTCTTTTTACTAGTTAATACTGTATTAAAAGCCACTCGTAGTACTGTTTTAATATCCTTTAATTGTTCCTTTAATTCCCTTATTACTAGTTAATACTATAATAAAAGCCATTCATAGTATTGTATGAATGCCAACTGATAAAGCAGTTATTTTGTATTCTTGTTTAGCTTTTGATTCTCTTTGCTAGTTTTTTATTCTTACTGCAATAAAAGATTTTTTGTACTGTTTGAATGTCTGTTGTACTTCTCTTTATTCCGGGCATGTATTCAAATGAACTAACACACAGGGGCACAGCTCTTTGGGGCAGGAGACGGGCAGCACCCTTGCCAGGACTCGGGGCGGTGGCAGGTCTCCTTGGGCCAGGACTTGCCAGAGCTGCCGATTTGGGTGCGGCCCTGGCCAAAGGGCTGCCAGCAGCATTGGTGCCCTTGCCCACACCTTCCTTCTCGGTGTCAGCCCCCCTGTTTAGGATGGCCACCAGCCAGCACTTCTCCCAAGGAGGCCGTGCCAGCTTGTGTGGAAGGCCCCGTGCCCTTCCCGCTGCGACTGAGTCGGCGGCCGAGGGGGCTCCTTGTGCTGCCGTGAGCAGGCACAGGAGGGGAGCGTTTGCTCATTTCTTGAGCCGTTCCTACAGTTCAGGTCCAGCCAGATTAGATACTTCAGAGAGCGGATTCCCTCCAAGGTGGGGCAGGTTGGCAGGGCTGGGGGAGGCCCCAGGCCACGTGGCACTGTGTCCCAGGGCCCTTTGTGACACGCTGGGCACGGCCGGTGGGATGGAAGGGGGCAGGGTGTCCAAGGGCCCTTTATGACCCACGGTGACAGAGGTGCTGCTGGTGACACGGCCACAGTGTCAACAGTGCTCCTCGGAGCAGGCGACGGGACAGGACGGGACAGAGCGGTGCTGTGCGGAGCCCCCACGCAGCCAACTCGTGCCTTGCTGACCCGGAGCATTTTGGAGGATTTTCTCATTTCCAGGTGACCTCGAGGCATTTCCACAGGATTTGGAGACCCGGAGTTTCTCCGAGGTGTCTCTAATCCCTGTGGCAGGTGCCCTTGAGACCCTTTTGCAGGACTTGGAGACCCGGAGCTTCTCCGAGGTGTATCCAATCCCTGCGGCAGGTGGCCTCCAGGCCATTCTGCAGGACTTAGGGCCCGGAGTTTCTCTGAGGTTCTCTTTCTCTCTTGCAGGTGCCCTGGACACCAGACTGTGGCATGGCAGGGAGACGCTTCAGCCTGCTCAGGCTGCTCTGGAGGAAGAAGGAGGAGGAAACCCCTGGGGCTGCTCCAGCACAGCAGCCTGAAGAGGTGCAGCAGGTGCAGCCCCCGCAGGAGGGTGAGTGCTGGAGCTGGGCCACAGGGCTGGTGGCTGCAGCCCCCTTGGCCTCATCCTGTCCCATCCCCTCTGGACATGCTCAGGGAAAGGAAGGGGGCAGAGGGGCTGGGGCTGATCTCCTGACAGCCATGCTCCATCCACTGGGCATCCCGGGGCTGGCCCTGCCTGCTCCTGGAGCCCAGGCCTGGGCTGTGTTCTCCGACCTCTCCCGCACACCCTCAGCTCTGAGCGCGCTCGCTCTTTGCCAGATGCAGGCCAGGAGCAGACAGAAGAGCAGCTCCGTGCCCGTGGCCGCTTCTGCAGGGCAGTACAGGTACCTGCAGCCATCCCCGCCTGGGCTGGGCCTGCTCTCACTGCTCAGCCCAGCACCGCTGTCGCAGCCCTCCAGGGGACATCCCTCTCTTCCCTGCCCTTCTTTCTCCTACAGACATTTATGAAATTCATGGGCAGTCGGCGTAGAAAGGCCAGGATCACACCAGCTGATGTCCAGGCCCAGCCTGACACCATCCCAACCCAGCTGACAAAGCCTGATGTCAGCACTGCGTCGACTGCTGTCCCAGCAAAGTGTGACACCGCAACCAGTGATCTCACAACCCACTGGGACACCACGTCCACCGATGATGTGTCACACTGTGACTCTGTGCTGCCTGGGCTCACGGAGGAGGCCGACGCCACAACGACGGAGGGCGTGGCGAGCACTGACGCCGCGCCTGTTCAGCGCCTGGCCGATACCCCCAGCCTGGAGTTTCTTGAGGAGAGAGCTGTCTCTGCTGAAGTAAGCAGCCTGTGGCCCCCCAAGCTGGGTGCGCTGGGCCCCCTCAGCCTTTGAGGCTGGCACAGTGTGCTGGGAAGGGACGCATTTCTCAGGGGAAGCTGGGCCAGTTGCTCACTCTGGCAGCTCTCCACCTCTGCCCTGTGCATCCTCCAGGCCAGACTGTGGGACCTGGGGACCTGGGGCTGCTCAAGGCATCTCCAGTCCCTGGGACAGGTGCCCTTGAGGCCAGACAGTGGGACTGGATGAGGCGAGGCATTTCCCAGGCTTCTCTCTTGCAGCTGCCTTGAAGGCACGACTGCAGGACTTGGGGAGCCAAAGCTTTTCCATGGCATCTCTGCTGCAGGTAGCCATAACACCAGACGGAGACATGCAGCAGAGACCCCCCACGGTGCCCAAGCTGGCCTGGGTGAAGGAGGAGGAGAAGGAGGAAAGCCCTAGGGCTGCTCCAGCACAGCAGCCTGAAGAGGTGCAGCAGGTGCAGCCCCCGCAGGAGGGTGAGTGCTGGAGCTGGGCCACAGGGCTGGTGGCTGCAGCCCCTTTGGCCTCATCCTGCCCATCCGCTCTGGACATGCCCAGGGAAAGGGAGGGGGACAGAGGGGCTGAACTCCTGGCAGCCGTGCTCCATCCACTGGGCATCCCGGGGCTGGCCCTGCCTGCTCCTGGAGCCCAGGCCTGGGCTGTGTTCTCCGCGTGCCTCTCCCGCACCCCCTCAGCTCTGAGCCCGACGCTCTGTGCCAGCCTTTGCAGGGCCCAGGAGGCGGACCGAAAGAGCCGCTCTCGTGGAACGTGGCCGCTATACCGCAGGGCATCGCACAGTACCTGCAGCCATTCCCCGCCGGGCTGGGGTCTGCTCTCACTCTCGCCAGAAACACTTGTTCGCGGCCCTCCAGTGGACCATACCTCACTCGTCTTCCTTGCTTTCTCCTGCTACTGCTGGTTTGCAGATTAATCAGGTGCATGAATGCAAGAGGATAACTTTGCATGCGCAACAGGGGGCACGGCTAAAACTAGAATGCCCAGGGACAAGCGATGCCCTGCCTGGATTTGCTGGGGAGACAAGGTGTTTTGTCTACAAAGCCTGAAGCAAAAAGAATAAGCAGGCTGTGGAAAGGGGCTCCAGTCCCACAGGGATCTTGCATGTGGCCACCTCACGCCGGCTGACGATGGGACACTCTCAGCCTTTGAGACCAGCAGAGTGTGGTGGCAAGGGGAGCACTTCTTGGGGGAAGCTGGGCAAGTTGCTGGCTCTGGCAGCTCTCCAGCTGTCCCCCGTGTCCCCTCCAGGTGCCGGCCATAGTCAGGTGCATCCATCAGTGGCTCACATCCAATGTGTCTGATGAGCACAGGCTGGACAAGACTCTTGTCCTGCTGACCGAGGCACACCCCACGGATGTTGCAGTGACCCTGCTGCGCTCTGCCCCAGCCTGTGACAGGTATGGGGCCCACCTGCCTTGAGGGCTCACCTGCCTTTAGACCCCATCCCTCTGGACAGCCTGTCCCAAATGGGGTGCCAGAGAGATGGAGACTTCCAGGACATTCCAACTCCTCTCTTTGCCAGCTTTGGCATGTCAGCCTCCAATCCTGAGTCCAGCCTGCCTCCCTGCCCCACAAGGCACCGTGGCTCTGTCACCTGGGCCCCGCAGTTGCCCAGGCCACAGAGCTGTGTCCCAGACCCCCCTGAGGCAGAGTTGTGACTCCACAGAGCTGCTCGCACCATGTGGAAGACGCTCATCTCCTCCAGAGGGACTAAGGAGCCGGTGCTGCAGATCCTCTTCCATGTGCTGGAATACTGGCCAGCGCACAGGAGACGCACCTCTGATGGGGATGAGAGGGATGTCTTTGCTCTGGCTGTGAGTTTCTTGAGCTGGCCTCTGCTCGCCCCTAGGTTGCCTCTGGGATGCCTTTCCATCCTCCCTCACCACTGCTTCTCCCTGCCCCAGGCACTGGGCTGCAGGCCTGCCTTAGGGGCAGGTTCAGGGGCAGCAGGCTGGGGGATCCCCCTGTGTCTCCCCTGGCCTGTCCCTGCCACGCTTGGGCCCTGCCACATGGACATCTGGGCCCTGAGAGCTGTCTCTGGGTGCTTTGTCTTTGGCAGGCAACTGTGGCACTCTGGGAGATCCTCCAGCTGTCCCACTCCTGGTGCCCAGGGGGAGTGAAGGACAATTTCCCGCGCCTCCTTCTGACTCTGCTCTTCCAAGTTTTCATCAGCACAGAGGAGATGTCAGAGGAGGTCGAGACCTTCTGGAGGCGATGCCGGGAGCAGCGCAGCCTTCCCCCCAACCCCAACAGGTGCTCCATCCCAGTCCCCTCTCCCTGCCACGCCCTCGGGGCAGGGGCCAGGGCTGTGTGCCTGACCTGGGCTGTGCTCTGCACACAGGTTTGCAGTGCAGACTGTTAAAGCCCTGCTGCGCCAGCTGCTGGGTGAGGACGTGTTGATGGCGATCGGTCGCAAGTGTGGCTGGGACGTGCTCCTCAAGGCTGACACCCACCACTATGCAGTGGGTCTGCTGGCCAGGTGAGAGCCCTTTCTCCCCACTGCCCCTGTCATTTCTGCCCTGTGCACAGGCCACCCCACACAGTGCCTGTGCTGCTGGGCCAGAGGGCCTTGGCAGCCAGGGATGGCTGAGCAGAGTGGAAAAGGTGGAGAGGGGCGGCTGCACAGGAGGAGCCACCTCCCAAAGTGCCCATGTCCTCTCCTGGGCTGGTGGCCAAAGACCAGGCCTGTGTGAGTCAGTCCCAGGAGAGCTTTGCCCACCTGGCTCAGGGTCTCTGGCACCTTTATTCCCCCTTGCAGGGAGCTGTGCCGTGTATCCCACTCCTTCTGCCGCAGCATCGCCATCAGCCTGCTCCCGCGGCTCAGCAGGGGAGAGCCCCTGTGGGAACTGCCTGCCCTGGCGTTCCTGGTGGAGGTGAGCCTGATGGCGAGCGCTGCCTGGCCCAGCTGCCTCCCCCTCTCTGCCCTCTCACAGCCGCAGCCGCCCGGGACGGTGCCTGCGCCCTGTGCTGCTGCCTGGGCCCAGCCCCGGGCGGGTCTGGGCTCCTGCCGGCCGGGCACCCCGTCACTGCTCCCTGCCTTTCAGGTCCTGCACTGCCTGAACCCCAGACAATATGGGCCCAGCGTCCTGCAGATTATTTCCAGGCACCTGCGCAGTCAGTGCCCGGAGAGGCGTCGCCTGGCGCTCCGAGGCCTGGTGGTGCTCAGCAAGGCTCCCTCAATGGTGAGCAGGGGGCAGGGGCTGAAGCCGGGCCGGCAGCGTGCGGCTGTGCGAGGCAGTAGCTTGGCCTTGGCTGGCCTTTGGCAGCTGTGGCAGCTGCTCCCAGCTCTCCTCCTCCCCGTTCAGCTGCCCGACTCCTTTGGGACGCACCTTTGGCCTCTGGGCCCCGCGGCAGCAGCGTGGGGCTGCACCACAGCATTGTGTTCCACACAGGCTAAGAGCATCCGGAGCCTGAATGAAAGCCTCCTGGAGCTACTGCAGGATACAGACACAGATACAGTTCAGATGACCCTCTCTGTGTTCATCAATGTGCTGGGCTTGAAAATCATCCAAATATCCAGCCCAATTGCCCTGAAGTTGCTTGAGGTGCTGCGGCCACTCTTTGACAACGTAAGGCTCTGTGCCCCTCATCGTGGGCACTGAGTGCTGCCAGGAAACTTTGGGCCCAGTGTCTTTTCAGGCCTGTGCCCTGGTGGGCCTGGAGAAGCCAGTGCTGAGGTCTTTTCCTCTTCCTTTGCACCAGGAGCACAGCCAGCTGCAGCAGCTCTCCATGCTCCTCTTCTGGGAGCTGATGGAGGCGACAGAGAGGAGCAAGAGCCTAAAGCCACACGTGTACCTGAGTCTGGTGCCATTCTACTTCAACTGGCACGATGAGAACCAGCGTGTGGCAGAGGTGAGGACTCGTGGGCTCCGGTGTCCTCATGGCAGGAGGCTGTTGTGCCTCCTGCCCTGGCCCATGGTCGCCTGCAGCCTCCTCCTGGCCTTGGCGCAGGGATGTGGGTGCTGTGCCCTGGGCTGCGGTGCCATGACCCACTCTCTATTGCTGTGCAGGCCTCTCGGAGAGCACTGTTTGGTGCAGCCAAGTTCCTGAAGTGGAGGGATCTTGAGCACTTGGTGACCATGGAGCAGCCGTGGAGGTTTCCCGAGTGCCTGGTAAGGACGGCCCCAAAGCCCCAGCCCCTGGCTCCCCGGGAGCACCCAGCCCTCTGCTCCCTCCAAACCCAGCCCCAGCAGCTGCTGGCCAGGCCTCAGGGCTCTGCGGGCAGGGGAGCCCCGTGCTGGGGACAGGGAGCACCGGGCCAAGGGGCAGAGCCTGAGCCGAGCCTTCCCTCCGTGCCCTGGCGCTCTTTGCAGCTGGAAAAGGACAGGAGCCGAGTGGGCCAGTACGTGCACCAGGCCCTGCCGTTCCTGGAGAGCCCAGAGGAGCCCCTGCGAAAGCTGGCCATCAAGTTTCTGGGTGAGCCACAAGGCCAGGGTCCCTCCCCGCCCCGCTGCAGCTCGGCCCCAGCCCCGGCTGCTGCAGCGGCAGCAGGATGCGGCCCAGGGCATGTGGAGCCCCGAGTGGCCCCGAGCGCCTGCTGCCGCCCTGTGCCAGCCCAGCCCTGGGGCGTCCCCATGCGGGAAGGCCCCGGGCTCAGCCCTGCCCGGGCAGGAGGCCGTGTGGCCGGGCTGGCAGCGCCGCTGCGGGGGACCTGTGCCTCTGGGGCCCTGACAGGCTCTGTGTTCCCAGGGATCGCCGCCAGGTCCATGAAGCAGGAGCAGCCAGAGCTGCAGCTCATCTGCCAGGGTGAGCGAGAGCACCTTCCAGCTGATCCCCTTGGGCCCTGCTCCCTCCTGGCCATGGCAAGAGCTGGCTGGGATGGCCCTGGCAGGAGGGGCTCCTCACGTCCCCACACCCCTGGCCTCTCACCTTGGCTCTCTTCCTTTCTCTTCCAGCCCTTCAAGACATCACTGATGACAGCCCTGCCGTCTCAAACCTGGCCCGTGAAACGCTCCAAATCATCAGAGCTGTACGGAGAACTTCATTCTTCCATTTCTGGTAGTCTCCGTTGCTGCCTCTTCCAGCCCATAGAGGTGTGACAGATGACATCAGACTCGCCATGGCAGGCCTGGCAATTCAACACTGCTACGTGCTGAGAACTGTACAGATGGCTCCCTACTGCAGATTCCAGCAGCTCCAAGACTGGCTGTGCAGGGCGTGGCAGACCCGGCCTTTTCTGCAGGGCAGTGTCTGCCTGTGCTGCTGCAGCTCTGTGGAGAACTGATGCAGGAAGCTCCATCTCCTGGAGCCATCTGAGCCTGTGGGGAAGATGCCTCTTCCCTGCAAGCACCTCCTTTGAGCCCAGCATGGGAACATGACCAACATGTTATCATGCACAGAGGCCCAGGAGCTTTTTTTTGGTGCCCAACGTGCACAGGGCCTTGGGGAAGAGGGTAAAATAGCTCCCTGTGCTCAGCAACACTTGCCCTGCTGTGCAGCGTGGCAGAAGCCCCTTGGCCTTTGGTGGTTCTGCTGGAGCCTCAAGGCTTGCAGCAGAGTGGAGGGGAAGAGGCTGGAGCTGTGGGGAACCCTGAGCACCTTGTCCTTGGAGATGGCCACAAGCCCTCCCCAGCCAGGAAGCAGCGTCTGTGTCGTGCCTGTGTGTTGTTGGCTGGATTGCTCTGGGCTCCCAAGTGCCTCTGGAGCGGCTCCTCTGGAGCTCCTTCAGGGCTGCACCACTGCTGGGCAGGTTGGCGGGGCTGGGGGAGACCCGCAGGGGAGGGGGCGCTGGGAGGCCAGGAAGGGGTGAGGTGCTGCAGAGGCCCTGATGGGACAAGGGAGCGGGAAGCCTTGAGGGGAATCTGGGAGGGGGTGGGTGGCAGAAGGCTGCGAGGGGACAGACTGGGTGCAAAGCCCCCAAACCGTGGTCTGTTACTGTTCACCTTACATCTTTAATAAGAGCACATGACAGACCCTCCCAGTAAGGGTCCTGGTCAGGCAAGACCAGGACTGGGAAAGCTTTTAAGACTGCCGTGTCCCCTGCAAGTCTCGCCTCCCCCCGCACTCGTGCCCATTGTCAGGCAAGTCAGGAGAGTGAAAGGTTAAATCTTTTTTCTTAGCTGTGAGTTCTGGGTCCTCCTCGGAGTCATCTGACCGAGAAACTGGTGCTGTGGCAGCGGCACCACGGAAGCAAAGTCCACACGAATGGGACGTGGAGGAGGAGGCCTTTGTTTCTGGCCACGCTGCAGGCTGTGCGTTAGGTGGCCGCAGTGATGCTGGCAATGAAGGCAGCTCTGGCGGCGTGGAAGGCAACACGGGAGACTGCGGTCGGGGCAGGGCATGGGGCAGGGTCTGCACACAAAATTTCAGCTCCTGCTGTGATAGTGGCTCAGAATCAGTTGCCGTTTCTACACGGTTGTCTGCAGAGCTGGAGTGAGCTTGCAAAGCTTCGTAAACTGCTCTCCATGTTGTTAATAAAAAGGTTGCTATCTTATCGCCTAGCGTGGTGCTGTCCCAGAGTCTGGCACCGATATCATCCCAAACTCTCCAGTCATATACTAAGTCACTGTTTAATGTGGGATTAGCTTTGGATGCCCACAAAAGGAGACATTCTAAATTTTCTTCCTGTACTGTTTTCTCATATTTTTTAAGGATTTCAGCAAAGGCTTGCGAGACTGCCTTATGCTTTTTCGTTAAAGGGGTTCCCATTTCATTCTCAGCTGCTTCCCTTATCGTCCAGCGTAAGGTAATTGAGAGCTCTCTTGTCGCTTCCTTTCAGCGCTTTTTCCTTCCTTGTGTTCAGCTGAGCTCCACCTCCGGAGAAACAGCTTAGTTTCTTTCATGCCCCAACATAGGGTGCCATTTGTGGCGTATTGAGGCACGGACTCAGGGGGGTGAAGCTGAGACAAGTTTATTGGAGTCGCAGCCCTCCTTTTATAACCCAACACCAACAGATAATCATACCTTATAAGGTAAAACCTGTGACCGCAGCATTTGATTGGCTGTTAGCTGTCACGGCAGTTGAAACAGGAGTTGAAATGGCAGTTTTAGGAGTTGCAGCTCAGCCCTGTAATGAGCCACTCCATTCTCTACAAAGGTACATTTTTTTCTAGGCCCTATTTCCCACAGTGTTGCCCTTTGCCTGTTGATAAACAAAGCAGTGGCTTCTTCCCCCAGGGACTGAAAGTGTCACCTCCCCCAGACTGGGGCCTGGAATTCCAACCACATTCCTGACCTTGGGTTTCACAGTTACCCATCAGTTTGGGGGAGGGGAAAAGAAAAAAAGGTGAAGAGATTACAGCAGCAAGGAAACTGGGGCTAAGTGTGCCTTCATTTTCTCAAGCTGTTCTGGAGAAATAAATAAAACTAGTACTATGGGGGGGGGGGGGGGGGGGCCGGGGGGGGGAAGGAACAGAGAGGCCCGCCCGCTCCAGCAGGTATCAGTTTACTGAATTTGATAAGGGAATATAAAAGAAGAAGATGCCTGCAAACACACATCTGCACTAAATTATCAAACTGTACAGTGCAAAATCTGACCCCAAGGAGTCTGTACAAAACAGTGGGAATGGAATCAGAGAGGGGAAGGAAAACATCGTCAGCAGTGCCTGTCCCAGTCCAGGGGCATCACTGAGCAGCACCTACATTTCCATGGCTCTCTGGGCAGGTCATTTCTCATGTGTGCCAAACAGCACATCTTGAAGCTTCTTCACACTGAAATACTAGAGACATTTCAGGGCATCTGAACAGCCAGATTCTTAAAGCACAACGACCTCAAGGCAAGGGAAGAAGTGAGATTCAGTGGCACTTGGCAGAAGCTGCCCAGTGCATTGTGTCCAATGGGTATTTACCCAAAGGAGCAACAAGCTCAAGGCATCAGGGAAAGAGCCAGATGATGAAAGGGTGTTAGCTGTTGAGAATTTCTTTGGGAAGAAGTAGATTGTTGAGATAGAAATTTGCAATATACCATGGAACCTTATTCAAAGTCCAGCTGCAAAATACCTTAGTGTTAAGAGTGTGAAATAAATCCTAAAATGTCATCAACTATGTGATTTCCTCTTTATTCCCAATCACTAATTAAAGAAACATAACTCAGATGTGATCTCACTCTGTGCTCCAGTGACATTAACATTAGAACAATATTGTCACTGTCTCCTCATCTCTTGTGCTCCTCACTGGCAGGCACTTGGTGCACCCCTGGATATCCTGCTAATGAGGTAAAAAACTAACCCTTCTAAAGTTCCAGATTTTCCTCACCTGTTTGGACACAGTTGGACAAACTGGACCAAGTTATGACTTGAAAGCCATCTGCTGTATTGAGCATTAATTACTCCTTGTTTTGATCTGAGGGAAAAAGGCTCACACAACACAATCTCTGAATGCTCCTTTGAACTCACCCACAGTGTGTTCACAAAGACACAGAGCAAGGCTTTTAGCTTTTGCTGCTGCCCTCAGTTCCAGCATACAAAGAAATGTCTCTGTGAAATAACAGCAATTGCCTTATCATGTTAGTGAACTACATTCCATTTATCTGGTCTCAAACAAATACTCCATATTTTCTCCTTGTTTTATTTTCAAGGCCATGGGTATGGGTATTTAGATGACTACCTTCACTGGTACAGGATAGAAACCGTTCACATTGCTATAAATGAATATTATTATCTTGACAAAACACCTTTTCCAAAGCCTCTGACAAAAAGAAAGGGAAAAAAAACCCAGACAGAAAAAGGGAGCCACAGGCACATTGCCTGTCACCCACCAAAAAGGTCTCCTCCCTAAAGATAATTCAGGCACACCCTTCAATATGGATCTCTCACTATCACCCCAAACTCTTTTTTAGTGGAAGTTTCTGTAGGGAAGCTGAAGTGCATCACTGTCCCAGACAGCCAAGGATAAGATGAGTGAGGGAATTCAGTTGCTCTAATTAATGCAGGATTATTTCCCTTTCTTTTGGTGAAGCTAATACTATGACTGGTGGAATGTCAGTAAAAATGAAATAATAAACTAGTGCAGTAGCAAAGGGAAAACTTACTTTAGTTATGGAGTGTTGCCAGCAGAAATCTTGACAATCTTACACATATTTACACTGATAAAATACCACATGTACTTCCTGGGATACTGCAAGCTTTCTGCAATCCTTGTGGCATGTCTGTACAGAGCAAGAGTTAACATTCTGAGGTTATACCTTAATAAATGAGTTGCAGTTCTATTGTCTCTTGAAAGTTAAGCACCACATCCTAAACGCAGGAACACGTTCAAGGTCAATGTCCTATTTTAGACCTTTTCAGCAGCTGTGATATTGTGATAATCACACCTAAAACATTCCTCTAGAGATAGTAAATTAGCTCTTTTCACTAGAAGGATTATTATGATCAAAAACAAATCTGAAAGAGAACAAAGTCAGATTTCTTTTTTTGTTTGTTTGTTGGGTTTTTTTCAGCAATGCAATAAATTGCTGTCCCTAACTGGGATGGCTTTTCTACCCAAGAATTTAAAAGAAAACCCCAAAGTTCACTTTATTCTGCACTTATATTACCTTTGGGTTTTTTGGGGTTTTTTTTGGAGGCCGTTTATGCTTTCTGTAAGAACCAAACCATTCCAGCTGACATAGCATTCTATCACCAATACTGCAGGGAAATGTAATATCCCACTAAAGCAGAAGGGAAAGAAGAAAACTGAGCATCAGCAGCTATTCCTAAGCAAGATCAGGGGTTTAGCTCCATCTAACTGAGGGATGAGATGTGTCCCTCAGTGGGTCTCTTCCCACTCCCCCACCAGCCCTTCTACCCGACTGCAAGCTCAAAGTTCTAAAAAGAGAAGAGGAAGCTGGAGCGTCAATATTTGCCCAGTGCAAACCCCAATAATCTTTGCTGGGAGCTGACAGGAATTGCTGTTCCACTGCCCTGGGATATCCTGGCTTGAGGCGAGAGCGCAGCCCCGCCCAGCGCCCCCAACCCCTCTGAGAGCTTTTGTAGCGTCTGTTTGTCCATGTCCCTGTGGCAGAGGCTCCCCCGACATCTGCCCTGGAGCTGGTCCAGCTGCTGGACCAAACAAGGCATTGTCCAGCCTGCCTTCCCCCAGCCCCGACCGCCCCAGCCCATCTTCCACCGCTCTGCTTCCTTTTCCTGCCCCTGCTCCCCCTCCGCTCCCTTCCCTCTGCCATTTTTATTAGGAATGTTCTTGCTGTTCTCACTGTCCGAGCATGAGCTGATCCCCAGGGCAGCCTGTGGAATGTAACCCCTCAAGCACTAAATTCCTTCCCCTGTGCCAAAGACCCGGGTTTGTTGTTGCTGCCCCTCCCGCCGAGCACCAGCTCCATCTCCTGCTCCTGCCCAGCGGCTTTGCAGAAATCCGGGGCTGGGTGTGGATTGAAGGCTGTGGCAAGGGACAGGATAAAGT